CCTTTAACAGCTCTTTCAGCAAGAATCCGTAAAAAGCAAACTTGGGCTGTTATTTTCCTGTTTGGCCAGGAGAATTCTTCAATTTGAAAAACTAAATATTTAAAATTTCACTCATTTCTCTAACTATTGCCTCTTTTTTATTTTCTTTATTTGTAACTTCTATTATATGGATATATGTGGGGTCTTCTCATTTTATTCTCCACATCTCTGTTTTTCTTTTCAGACGGCATTTCGCTCTTGTTACCCAGTCTGGAGTGCAATGGCGCGATCTTGGCTCACCACAACCTCCACCTCCTGGGTTCAGGCAGTTCTCCTGCCTCAGCCTCCTGAGTAGCTGGGATCCCAGGCACATGTCACCATGCCCAGCTAATTTTTGTATTTTTAGTGAAGACGGGGGTTTCACCATGATGACCAGGATGGTCTCGATCTCTTGACCTCGTGATCCACCCGCCTCGGCCTCCCAAAGTGCTGGGATTACAGGCTTGAGCCACCGCGCCCGGCCACATCTCTGGTTTTTTAAAAGTTTCCTGCCGGGTACGGTGGCTCACACCTGTAATCCCAGCACTTTGGGAGGCCGAGGTGGGTGGATCACGAGGTCAAGAGATCGAGAGCATCCTGGTCAACATGGTGAAACCCCGTCTTCACTAAAAATACAAAAAATTAGTTGGGCATGGTGGCGCGTGCCTATAATCCCAGTTACTCAGGAGGCTGAGGCAGGAGAATTGCCTGAACCCGGGAGACAGGTTGCGGTGAGCCGAGATCGCGCCATTGCACTCCAGCCTGGGTAAGAAGAGCGAAACTCCGTCTCAAAAAAAAAAAAAAAAAAAAAAATGCTTCCTTATCTTGTTATCTGTTTTGCTGCATTTTTTTGTATGATTTTTTTGAATCCAGTTTCCAGTTCATTAATTTCACTTTAGCAGTGTCTAATATACTATATAATTTATCTGTTAAGTGCTTTTCATGATGACAATGATGATGATTTTTTGAGGAGTCTCACTCTGTCGCCCAGGCTGGAGTGCAGTGGCGTGATCTCAGCTCACTGCAACCTCCGCCTCCTGGGTTCAAGAGATTCTCATGCCTCAGCCTTTTCAGTAGCTAGGATTACAGGGACCTGCCACCATGCCTGGCTAAATTTTGCATGTTTAGTAGAGACAGGGTTCACTGTGTTGGTCAGGCTGGTCTTGAACTCCTGATCTCAAGTGATCTGCCCACCTCAGCCTCCCAAAATGCTAGGATGACAGATCCCAGCCACTGCGTCTGGCCCACAATGATTTTATATATATATATATATATATATATATATATATATATATATATTTTTTTTTTTTTTAAATTTCTAATGGGTTCTTTTACCACATTGGTACTTTTAAATATAGTGCCTTGTTTATGCCCTAAGGTATTCATTCCTTAAAGATTTTAGAGAAACTTCTTTAAAAATCTCTGTAGATTGTTCTATTATTTTGAGTTTTCGGGGTGTATATTTTCTTTTTGTTGTTTCTGCCTCACCCTCTTATAGTCTCTTTCGGTGACATCTCCTTATGTGATTTGGAATTTTTCACTTTGAGCATCTATGTGGCAGGATTGTTTCCACAGGAGTTCTGTGTGCCATCTGAAGATGTTTCTAATAGGTCAGTTAGACAATTTGCTATTTCCAAGGCCCTGCAAGTGTCACTAACCATGGAAGATATATATATATATTTTTAGAGACAGAGTCTTACTCTGTTGTGCAGTAGTGCGATCTCAGCTCACTGCAGCCTCTTTCTCCCAGGTTCAAGTGATTCTCCTGTCTCAGCCCCCTGGCCCCAGTGGCTGGGACTACAGGCATGTGCCATCATGCCCAGCTATATGGAAGAATTTTTATGTGAAATTTTGAGTTCAAGATTTCTGCATCAGATACAAAATTTTGAGTGTGTGTGTGTGTGTACATATGTGCATGTGTGAGTATGCAGTGCCTGCCTAAGGACATGGATAAATTAGTTTTTTATTTCCTTTTGCATTATGTAGGCACAGAATTAGTAAAATGGAGTTCACAGTTTTAAAATGTCTCGTTTTTCTCAAAGCTCTTTCAGCTCAATTTTTCCACTTTGTTTCAAAGTAGTAAAAATTGAGCACATACTTTCATTCCTTTATGTCATAAAAAGCAGGATTTGTTGTTTTAAACGAAATCGACAGTTCAATACTTGGGTACTTTTTTCATGCTTTCTCTGTTAGCTGTTTCCATTTTCTCCTCCGGGATGGAAGGCAGTGAGGCTTGAAGAATAGACTTCTCGTCTGTAATTTACAGACTTGATTGGAATGCACTGTGAAATATCCTTATGAAAACATAATGATTCACCCCTTGTTGGGGAATTGGAAACTATTGATTTATGTTCTGCCCCAGGAGATAGTGCTTCTCTTTGCTAAGGGTGCATTATAGGGTTTAGTTTGAGTTCGCATTCTCTGCCAACAGGCAGACTATATGCCTACTTTTAAATCCAGAATGCAAGGAAGTCTTCCTTAGCTCTGGCAGCTGACGTTTTAATACAGAACTGCATATATTCCCACATCTTTCCCTCAGATGTTAGCCCATTAGACTAAACTTTCCAGAAAATGACAGATTTCTTTGTTCAAGACATGCACTGTGCAATAAGGACATCACTAATCACATGTCTCCCTTATGCACTTGAAATGTGGTCAGTTGGAATTGAGATGCATTGTAAGTGCAAAAAAATACACACTGAATATAAAAAGATGCAAAATACGCCATTAATAATTGTTATACTGATTACATGTTGATATTTTTTGATATATGGCTGGGTACGGTGGCTCACACCTGTAATCCTTGCACTTTGGGAGGCCAAGGTGGGTGGATCACCTGAGGTCAGGAGTTCGAGACCAGCCTGACCAACATGGTGAAACCTGTCTCTATTAAAAATACAAAAAATTGGCCGATGTGGTGGCTCACGCCTGTAATCCCAGCACTTTGGGAGGCAGAGGCAGGCGGATCACCTGAGGTCAGGAGTTTGAGACCAGCCTGACCAACATGGAGAAACCTTGTCTGTACTAAAAATACAAAATTAGCTGGTTGTGGCAGTACACACCTGTAACCCCAGCTACTTGGTAGGCTGGAGACAGAAGAATCACTTGAACCCAGGAGGCGGAGGTTGCAGTGAGCTGAGATCGCGCCACTGTACTCTAGCCTGGTGTCAGAGCGAGACTCTGCCTCAAAAAACAAACAAACAAAAAAATATGGTTTTAACTGGCACCTCTGGTGTAATTTTTTTATAAAGTGGCTACTAGAAAATTTAGAATTACTTATGTGACCTACCTTATGTTTCTATTGGACAGTGCTGCTATAGAGTGTCTTACAAACAAGGAAACCCATAAATTCTCTACTAAAAACTTCTGTCTGTCATTGTTTTCCTATACTCCCATTCACCAATTTTTTTACAATGTATATTTTTGGTATAAGTTAATGCTGTACTACTACAATCCAGGCAAATGCACAGGGGTAGTATCTCACCTGAGTAAAGTCCAAAGATCAGCATATAGATGGACATTGAATAAAGTAAAAATTGCCCTTGGAAGTCTTTTAGAAGGCCTCAAGCTGTCCCAATCTTTTATTAACTCTCACCCAGTTTTTCTGCTAGTATTAGGGCAGATTATTGTTTTTCCAGACAGTATTACTAATCAGAGAAGTACTTGGCTTGTGTTTGGTGCAATATTATAGCAAAACGCAAATCTTAAATTCAGAATCCCCCTCAGCCTGGAGAGATGTCCAACTATGAGAAGCAGAAGGTTCCTGTGGGTGCCTGAGGCTTACATTTCTTGTTCACTTGGGGTGCACATTCACTGAGTGCCAGAGAGGAGGGCCTTGCCTACTCTGTTTATTTCTCTCTCCTATCTCCTGTCAATTTTTCTCTTATTTCCCTAAATTTGTGTTTGTGAATTTCCAGTAGTTGGATTTGCATACCTTAGTATGTAACGATGTCTCTCTTCTCCAGACCCTGTAGATCTGTGACTCGAAAGGTATCATAAAAGGCCACAAATGAGATTGCAAAGCAATGTGAATGTCCTTAATGCCACTGAACTGTACACTTAAACATGGTTAAAATGGTAAAGTTATGTTCTATATTACTGGGCACGGTGGCTCATGCCTGTAATTCCAGCACTTTGGGATGCCAAGGCAGGTAGATGGCTTGAGTCCAGGAGTTTGAAACCAGCCTGGGCAACATGGCAAAACCCTGTCTTTCAAAAAAAAAAAAAAAAAAAATTAGCTGTGTGTGGTTGTGTGCACCTTTAGTCCCCGCTACTCAGGAGGCTGAGATGGGAGGATCACTTAAGCCTGGGAAGTCAAGGCTGCAGTGAGCCGTGATAGTGCCCATGTACTCTAGCCTGTGCAAGATCGAGACCCTGTCTCAAAACAAACAAACAAACAAAAACAAAAGTTATGTTATATAGTTTTTACCACCTTTTTTTTTTTTTTTTTGAGATGGAGTCTCACTCTGTCGCCCAGGCTGGAGTGCAGTGGTGTGATCTCGGCTTACTGCAACCTCCGCTTCCTGGGTTCAACTGATTCTCCTGCCTCAGCCTCCCAAGTAGCTGGGATTAAAGGCATGTGCCACCATACCTGGCTAATTTTTGTATTTTTTAAGTAGAGATGGGGTTTCACTATATTGATCAGGCTGGTCTTAAGCTCCTGACCTTGTAATCTGCCCGCCTTGGCCCTCCAAAATGCTGGGATTACAGGCATGAGCCACCATGCCTGACCTAAAATTTGTTTTGATGATTAGTTCAGTCCATGTTACATTGTTGTGTATTTGATAACACATGGAATTTTAATGAGATTCTCCTGCCACACAAAGCAGGATGGGAATAAAATGAAAAGACTCAATAATAAAGCTCTCCAGATGCTGTAGCTTTTATACAGTCCTCCTTTGCCCCCCAAATCAACTCTTACTGCCAATACTGGAATACTTAAAAATGTTTTAGTTGAATTATTTATGTCTTTGTCTTCTTAGGCTACAAGTGGAAAAAGCTGAATGAAAAATGGAAGAGTGACTACTGAAATATTTACAGATGGAAGGATATGATGTCTAGAATTCATTTCAAACAGTGAGTATGTGAGGGGGGCAAGTAGCTGGTGATGTAGATGGGATAGGACTGGTAACAGGTTAATGTTTTTTTTTTTTTTTTTTGAGACGGAGTTTCGCTCTTGTTACCCAGGCTGGAATGCAATGGCGCGATCTCGGCTCACTGCAACCTCCGCCTCCTGGGTTCAGGCAATTCTCCTGCCTCAGCCTCCTGAGTAGCTGGGATTACAGGCACGCACCACCTTGCCCAGCTACTTTTTTTTGTATTTTTAGTAGAGACGGGGTTTCACCATGTTGACCAGGATGGTCTCGATCTCTTGACCTTGTGATCCACCCGCCTCGGCCTCCCAAAGTGCTGGGATTACAGGCTTGAGCCACCGCGCCCGGCCTAGGTTAATGTTTTAAGGTGCTATGTACTAGTACATGGGGTTCATTATTTTATTCGGTCTACTTTGCATATGTTTAAAATTGGTCACAATATTTTTAAAAATTGGATAAATACACTATTTAAAATATGCATGTGTGAAGCAAAGACTGAACGGGAACACAAAAAAAATAAAGTTATGTGGGTTTAGAGTAGTTGAATTACCGGTGAATTACCTTTTAAAACTTTAATATTATTCTAATTTTATCTTTCAATAAATAAAAATCCAAAGGAAAAACACACACAAAAACTCTTTGAAGGTTAGGACCAGTGGTGCTGGAGCTGGCTTGTATCAGCTTGAGAGAACTGATGGTTAAATTTTCAGGAATTTTTGCATCCTTGCTAATGTTATGTGGGCAGCTTGAAATTGACCATGGTGGGAGTATTTATAACTGTAAATCAGCAAATACTAGAAATCAGTACTCCCAAAAGCCAGTTGTTAAACATTTATCAATGTGGGCTGTATTGTAAGGACTGTATTATATACTTTTCTACCTCAAATTATCTAAAGGTCCCAAAATCAATGAGCAGGTACTTATTAATTTATTTTACACATATTTAATGAGGTTCTACCATGGGCAAGAATTTTGTGCTAGGCATTTTGGTGGATACAAAGAGTTATTTTGGGAGGCCAAGGCGGGTGGATCATGAGGTCAGGAGTTCAAGACCAGCCTGACCAACATGGAGAAACCCCATCTCTACTAAAAATACAAAAATTAGCTGAGTGCAGTGGCGCACGCTTGTAATTGCAGCTACTCAGGAGGCTGAGGCAGGGAATCACTTGAACCTGGGAGGCGGAGGTTGGAGTGAGCTGAGGTCACACCACTGCAATCCAGCCTGGGCAACAGAGCAAGACTCTCTCTCAAAAAAGAAAAAAAAAAATCGCAATACAAATATGGCAGTTATACGGGTGCCAAGGCAGGAGGACTACTTGAGGCCAGGAGTTCCAGACCATCCTGCGCAACATAGTGAGACTCCCTGACTCTATATTTTTTTTATTTATTTGAGATAGTGTCTTCCTGGGTCACCCAGGCTGGAGTGCAGTGGTGCAATCTCAGGTCACTGCAGCCTTTACCTCCTGGGCCGAAGCAATCTTCCCACTTCATCCTCCCAAGTAGGTGGGACTACAGGTGTGCTATCACACCTGGCCCATTTTTGTATACTTTGTAGAGATGGGGTTTCACTGTGTAGCCCAGGCTGGGTTCGAACTGTTAGACTCAATCCATCCTCCCACCTCAGCTCTCCAAAGTGTTGGGATTACAGGTGTGAGCCACCTCACCCAGCCTGCCCTGACCCTATTAAGGAAAAAAGAAAACTTGCCATTTAGCTACAAGGAATGTAGTTGGTTGATAGCCTCCAGCTGCTAGTGACTTTAGGCTCCATCTCAGCTTTCTAAAAGACACTGAATTGTCATGCCAGGTGTATTGGCATATACCTGTAATCCCAGCTACTCAGAAGGCTGAGGTGGGAGGATTTTTTTGGTAAGTGAATTGTATCTCAAGAAAACTGTTATTAGCAAAAGGAAGGAGGTTGGGCACAGGGGCTCATGCCTGTAATCCCAGCACTTTGGGAGGCCAAGGCAGGCAGCTCAGTTGAGGCCAGGAGTTCAAGACCAATTTGGGCAACATAGGGAGACCCCCCCATCTCTACAAAAAAATTTGAAAATTAGGCCGTTGTGGTGGTGTACGCCTGTAATCCCAGCTGCTTGGGAGGCTGAGGCAGGAGGATTGTTTGAGCCCAGGATGTGGAGATTGCAGTGAGGAAAAATCATGTCACTGCACTCCAGCCTGGGTGACAGAAGGAGAGGCTCTCTCAAAAAGAAAAAATGGAAGGAAACAAGACAAGATGTCAAGATGTCAGCCACTAGTTCTATTTTTAAATTAAAAAAAAAAAGTTATTCTGGAAGGCCTAGCTAATGCAGTAGGACCTAACTTTTGAAAGAGAGTTTAAAAAATCATTATTTGGAGACTATTTGGTTATCTACTGAGAAAATGTCAAGAAAGAAAATAATATTAGTTCAGTAGGGTGGCTGTGGATATATACTTTATATATGTGTGTATGTCTTAGTCTTTTTGTGCTGCTATAACAAAATATTGAGAACTGGGTAATTTATAAATAATAGAAATTTCTGTCTCACAGTTCTGAAGCCTGGGAAGTTCAAGATCAAGGGGCAGGTCTGATGTCTCTCCTTTTAAGATGGCACCTTGTTACTGTGTCCTCCAAAGAGGACAAATACTGTATCCTCACATGGTGGAAGATGAGAGGGCAGAAAAGGAGCAAACTCTCTCTGAAGCCTCTTTTATAAGGACATTAATCTATTCATGAGGAGTCCTTGTGACTTAATCACCTCCACAAAAGCTTCACCTTTTCATTCCACCAGAATGGGGATTAAGTTTCCACATGAATTTTGGAGGAGACACATGTTCAAACCATAGCAATATGTTTATAAACACACACACACAAACACACCCCCCCCCTTATGCCAGTTAGAAAAATACTTGATTTACAGTGATAGCAATAGCTCTGAAATACTTCTGATAAAACTTAATCTAAAATGTGTAAGACCTTTACAGAAAAAACAAAAATTTTGCTGAAATACATAAAATAAAACTTGAATAATAGACATATATTTACGGAAGGGAAAACTCAATATATAAATCAACTAAAAAATAAATCACTTCCTCACATATTAATATTAGATTGCAATGGAATTCCAAACAAAATCCCAATAAATATTTAAAAATTTGTCAAATTGTTTCTAAAGTTCATCTGAAAACACACATGTGAGATAAACCTAGAAAAATTTGAAAGAAAGAAAAGAATTATGAGAAGCACTGCCACATGGGTAGAAAAAAAAATAGAACAAAACAGAAAGTCTAAAAGCGAATCCACGTACTATGGAGTCTTAGAGTGGGAACCGAAGATATAAAAATGGCTTTTCAAAACAATGGGATAGGATGGGTGTGGTGGCTCATGCCTGGTAACCCCAGTATTTGGGAGGCTGAGGCAGGTGGATCACTTGAGGTCAGGAGTTTGAGACCATCCTGGCCAACATGGTGAAACCCCATCTCTACTAAAAATACAAATGTCAGCTGGATGTGGTGGCACACACCTGTAATCCCAGCTACTGGGGAGGCTGAGGCAGGAGAATCGTTTTAACTTGGGTAGCAGAGGTTGCAGTGAGCTGAGATCGTGCCATTCATTGCACTCCAGCCTGGGCAACAAGAGTGAAACTCCATCTGAAAAAAAAAATTCACCTGGACCATCCGAAAGCAAAAAAATATTTAAAAAATAATAATAAAAAAAGAAAAAATTATATTGCATAAAAAGGTACAAAATCCTCATCCCAAGGCTGGCTCCCCCTGGTGGTGGGAGAGTTGCAGCACATTGAGGCTACAGGTGTCTTCGCTAAGGTGCTGGGTGTCTCGCTTCACCCATCATGCAGCCGACCCAGGCTTCGCTCTGATTGGAGCATAATAGTATGTTTCTGGATCATGCACTCTGCTGGCATTACATTCTAGGCCCCTCTTTGGAAATTTGGGGAGTATCTCTTTTTTTTTTTTTTTGAAACGGAGTTTCACTCGTCACCCAGGCTGGAGTGCAATGGCGCAATCTTGGGCTCACCGCAACCTCCGCCTCCCAGGTTCAAGTGATTCTACTGCCTCGGCCTCCCGAGTAGCTGGGATTACAGGTGCGTGCCATCACGCCCAGCTAATTTTTGTATTTTTGGTGGCAACGAGATTTCACCATGATGGCCAGGCTGGTCTCCAACTCCCGACCTTCTTGGCCTTCCAAAGTGCTGGAATTCTAAGCGTGAGTTACTGCGCCCGGCCTTGGGGATGTGAGAGATGGGAAAGTTTTTCTTCAAAGTTTACATTTTAGACTACATTATAAGGAGTTACAATCTCTTGCTGTATGGCCATTATCCACTATTAGCATAGGCATATACCCATGTATATATATTCTCTAAATCATCTCTGTCTTAAATCAGCTACCTTGGTTCGCTCTGGCATGTCTGAACAGGACTGGGTAAGCCCCAAACCCTGGTGCATGCCATTCCTAATTTGGAAACCCTCCTGACCGTCTCCTGAGTAGCTTCCTCTTATTCCTTGTCTTCTTCCTCGTCTTCTTTCCCGCTTATCAAGGAAATTTCCAAGTTTTTAGCCAATACGGTCAAGCATAGAATGTGAGGTCCTGTTCCAGCCAATGGAAGCGACACAGCAGTAGGGCGATCGCATCAAGTTATGAAAGTCATAAATATCCCTGTCTCTTTTGTTCAAGTGTGCTCTTGTGGCAAGACAGCTGGCAAGGTGCACCCTTCCTGCAGGAAGTAAACTAGCCTTGCTGAGTTATCCATTGTCTCCGTGTTGATTCTTCCCCATGTTATAAATCCATTTCCGACAGGGAGAAATTCTGACTGTCACAATGATTGGTCATTTAGAGGATGTGGGCCAGGGCGATACATTTCTGATAATGTATGGGCAAATACATTACAGAATTTTCCTACATTTTACACAACTTTTAGTGCCCTGCTCAACATTAACGTAGATTTAAAAAAAACTTGTGGCCGGGCGCGGTGGCTCAAGCCTGTAATCCCAGCACTTTGGGAGGCCGAGGCCGGTGGATCACAAGGTCGAGAGATCGAGACCAACCTGGTCA